AGCAGTTAGGAGCTTCATTTGGGTCGCCCACATAGGCAGCAGGGGCCCAAGCACTTGGACTTTCCTCTGCTGCTTTTCCCAGGTCATTAGCAGGGAGCTGGATCTGAAGTGGAGCAGCTGGGACTTGAACCAGTGTCCATACATCATTGTGGGCAGCAGCTTTACCACAATGCCAGCCCAAGTTCCGTGATTTTCAAACTATGAACCTAACTTATATTGTGGTTGAGAGGGGGGATGAAGTTGGATAAGGAAGATGAACTTTATAGTCAGAAAGCTTCGACTTCCTCCCTTTCTGGGTGTGTGACCATGGGGAAATTGCTTAAACTGAATTTACAATTACTTTGCTGAGGTCCTGAGTTGTGGCACAGGGAGTTAAGATGCCTCCCGCAATGCTGGATTTCCAAATGGGTTCTGGGCTAAGTCCCACTGCTTCACTTCCCATCCAGCTCCCTGCTAATGTGTCCAGGAAAGCAGCAGGGGATGGCCTAAGTGCTTGGCCCCCTGCACTTGCGTGGGAGACCTGGAAGAAGCTCCTGGCTCCTGGCTCCTGCCGCTGAGAAGCCCTGGCTGTCGCAGCCATCTGGGGAGTGGACCAGTGGATGAAGAGTCTCTTTCTGGTCTCTGAGCCTTTATTCAACAAAACGATTTTTATTAGCCAACTTTTTTTTTTTTAAAGATTTATTTACTTATTTGAAGGTCGGAGTTACACAGAGAAAGAAGGAGAAGCAGAGACAGAGACAGAGAGAGGTCTTCCATCCACTGGTTCGCTCCCCAGTTGGCCACAACTGCTGGGGCTGTGCTGATCCGAAGCCAGGAGCCAGGAGCTTCTTCCGGGTCTCCCACGTAGGTGCAGGGTCCCAAGAACCTGGGCCATCTTCCACTGTTTTCCCACACCATAGCAGAGAGCTGGAATTGGAGAGGAACAGCACTGCAGGCGGCGGCTTTACCCGCTACGCCACAGCGCTGGCCCCTAGCCAACTGTTTTAAAATAAGCTAAATTTCAACTTACTTGTAGATTTCCTTGGTTGAATTTTTTTTTGTAAGTCTGTTTTTATCTATTTGAAAGGCAGAGCCACAGTGGGGAGCAGAGAGGAGAGAATCTTCCATTCACCGCTTCACTCATGCCTACAATAGACAGTGCTGGGGCTAGGCTGAGACCAGGAGCCAGAACTCAATCCGGTTCTCCCACATCAGTGGCAGAGGCTCAAAACACTTGAGCCATATCTTGTTGCCTTCCAGGGTTGCATTACCAGGGAGCTGGGTTGGACGCAGACTGGCCAGGTTTCAAACCAGGCACTCTGCAAGGCGAGGTGGGTGTCTCCACTCAGTGACCTGCTGAGTCACAACGCTGGCCCCAGCAACCATATTTTAAATTTATAAAGGTAGCCCTTTGTTACATTTTGCCACTTAAGAGATATGTGTTCTATTTTTATGCTGTGCTGGAAATGAGTAAGAATTGACAAGTACAGAATTTCCCAACTCTCAGCTGTAGTATCTTGAAAATGGCTGAGCGTGAGCAGTTCTTTCACATCAATGCCATGTCCTCAGAGCACGCCTTGTTATTCCCCAATACCGCCTCCAGCCCCATCGTCATGATGATGGGCTGTGTTCTAGCCCAGTGCTCCTCGGTGTGTGGTCTGAAGACTTCTGGGATCCTGGAGACCCCTGCAGAGGGTCTGTGAGGCCCTGCCTTCTCCAACTTCACTTCCATGTGATGCCTGATCCTCTTCGTATAATTCAACCAGAACATCATACCACCATAGATTGAATGCAGATATGAGACTCCAGCTGACTTCTATTAAGCCAGATAGCAAAGAGGCCTACAAAACTACAGACAGGCCACATCTCATTTTTTTGCTTTGGAAATATAATTATTTTTCATAAAGATGTGTTATTTAAATTAATATGATATGGGTTTGTTATTGTCCTGTTAGAAGAAATTAATGCATACATTTTTAAATTGTCTCAATTTTAGTTCCTAGTACAGTAAATGTCAATAAATAAAATCCACCTAAACAAATGTCCCTTGGGTGCTCTTTGTGCTTGTTGGCAGTACAAAGATATGCCCAAACCAGAAAGTTAGAAAACTTCATGCTGACAACTTTCTGCTCTAACAAACATATATCACATTGCAAAGGTTTCTCATATGGGATGGATAGAAGTCACTATTGTAGCAAAATGAAGAATTCTCCTGTGTCTTAAACCTCATCCTACTGTAGTATCAGTATTCAATTTACCTAGGCCAGCTGTTCTTAAACTTGAACCCACATCAGAATTACCTGGAGAGCTTGTTACATTACAGACTGCTGGTCCCCATTCCCAGGGGTTTTCATCCAACAGATTTGAGTGGGAACTGAGAAGTTTTTTTTCCTAACAAGTTCCCAGGTGATCCCACTACTGATCCAGAGTTCATACTTTCACAGCTAATGGTCAGGGTTACGGTTTCTAGGATTTTTTTCCAACCTATTTTGCCACCTCCGTTAAGTAAACTGATTTTTGTATAACACACTGATTGGAAACAAAAAAATTGGCTGAAATTTTAGTAGGTAGGAGACATGATCATTCAGAGATCCTTGACAGTGGGGGTCCCATCAAGGTATGATAATAAAAGGGGGCATTTCTGTCCTCTTAGACACATGGAGGCCATCCAGGTAATCGGCAGACTGACAGGTGAGGGAGCCAAACCAGGTTTATAGCCAGTAAGAATCTTCCATTGGCTGGTTCACACCTCAAATATCTGCCACAGCCAAGGCTGGGTCAAGTCAGAGCCAGGAGCCAGAAACTCCACCTGGGTCTCCCACAAGGGTGGCAGAGACCCAAGCACATCGGCCATCATCTGCTGCCTGCCAGGCACATTAGCAGGAAACTAGATTGGAAGCACAGAATAGCCGGGATTTATACCAGCCTCCAATATAGGATGTCAGCGTCACAAGTGGCAGTTTAACCAACTGTGCCTTAACAATGGCCCTGATCCGTTTTTAAAATACAAAGACAGGGACTGGCGCTTGTAGCACAGAGTTAAGCTGCCATCTGGGTGCTGATATCCCATACTGGCATTGCTTAGAGTCCTAGCTGCTTCACTTCCAATCCAGCTCCCTGCTAATAGCGCCTGGGAAAGCAGCAGAGGATGGCCCAAGAGCCTGGGCCCCTGCACCCATGTGGGAGACCCAGAAGAAGCTCCTGGCTTTGGATTGGCTCAGCTTCAGCCGTTGTGGCCATTGGGGGAGTGAATCAGTGAATGGAAGACCTCTCTCTTTGTCTACCTCTCTCTGTAACTCTACCTTTCAAATAAATAAAATAAATCTTTAAAATAAATACAAAAATATAGTATACTTCATTGAATAGTGTTCCCCAAAACTCATGTCTTTCCCAGAGCCCCTAACTATGACCTTACTTGCAAACAGGATCACTGAAGATGTAATTAGTTAAGTTAAGATGAAGTCATGCTGGAATAAGCTGGCTCTTGATGTAGAATGATTGTGTCCTTAAAAGGAAGGGAACAGAGGCCAGTGTTGTGGTGCAGTGGGTAAGGCAGTGCCGGCCTCCCATAAGGGCGCCGGTTCGAGTCCCATCTGCTCTACTTCCAATCCAGCTCTCTGCTAATGTGCTTGGGAAAACAGTGGAGGATGGGAGTCCCAGAAGAAGCCCCTGGCTCCTGGCTTCAGCCTGGCCCAGCCCTGGCCGTTGTGGCCATCTGGGAAGTGAACCAGTGGCATGCATAGAGGAGAATGTTAGGTGAAGAAAGAGAGGGAGGACAACCATGTGATGAGACATGGAAGCTGGAATTGTGCAGGTGCACAAGGTTTGCCAGCAACCTCCGGAAGGTGGGAGAACGTCACGGAACAGCTTCTCTCAGTTCCCTGCTGACAGCTTGACTTAGGGCTTCCGGTCTCTTGAAGTGTGAGAAAGGAGGGCCGACTGTTTCAAGTCACCTGCTTTGTGCTAATTTGTTGTGGCAGCCCTCAGACATGAACATACATGAACCAGGGAGGCAATTAAAGGAGACTTACATTTCAGACACCTCTGTGCATGACCCCAGTGTCTGGATCACATCTGCTTCCACCTGCGGCTACTGCTACTACAACCGACCGGGCCTGCAAGGGTCTTCACCACTTCATGTCCTCCCCAGGTATCTCTGCCCTTGGGCTTCCTGGCAAGGCTGCCACCACGTGACCCCGCTCAGCGCCAGTGCACGCACAGCCCCAAGGGTGGGGCAGTGACTGTAGGATAGACCTTTGAACAGCAGTTTACTAGAGCACTTTTTATTCCATAGAAAAATGGTCCTGCTATGTAGATGATGTAGTTTTTCAGAGCCCCCTCTGTGAGATTGAATGACTCGTGGCGTTAGGCGGTGGTCAGTGGGTTAATACCCCTCTGTCGTGGCTCCTTCCTTCCCTGTCTCCTTGCCCCTGCCCCTGGTCCCACTTTCCAGGATTTCACTCCCTACTCAGGCAGAAGAACAGAAGCTTTCCCTCATGCTCCACTTTCTGGGGAACCTGGGTAAGGCAGGCCTTCCCCAGGTAGCCCGGTTGATATTCAAGGCAACAACAATAATAATTACAATGGAAATGTAGACATGGCATGAAAATTTAAATATTTAAGAAAGGCATTTTTAAAAAGACAGCCATAGCTTCTTGTTCATCCTTTCAAAAAAATCCATAAATGCTTGTATTTACTCCCATAAATTGTATCATACTATACTTCCTTCTTTTCAGTTTGTCCATCTGCCTATCAAACACATGAAAATATATAAGTAAAACTTTCAAAAATGTATCTTGCAGATCTTCCTGTGTCAGCCCATGCAGAATGACCCCTTTTTAATTTGCATGTATGTGTTCAAACGTATGCTCTGCCATATTGCATTTAATGAGCCCTCCTCCCACCATTAACACACAGTTGAGCTCTTTCCAATATTCTGCCACCTCAGACAACACTGCAGTGAACATCCTTGCAAGTCTATCTTGGTACGCATTTGCAAATACATAACAGTGTAAACTCACCACAGTGGAATTCTGGGTCAAAGCCTATAGCTCTTCCTGTTGGCCAAGCCCACCCGGGAGCTGGGGGGCAGGTGAGCTGTCCCGTGCAGTCTGGACCAGTCATCCTTTTGAGGCCCTGAGAAATAGAGAAGGGAGAACATGGACTTCCAAAGGCAAAGAGAAAACATCCAATGGAGTCAGGAATATGTTTGCTTGCAAGCAACAGAAAAGCCAGGACACTAAGCCTTTAACGTGTGGAGGTCTCTTTTTCTTGTGGAATGAAGATTGTGGAGATGATTCAGGTCGGTGCAGTTTGAGCAGAGCATCACCAAGTTCCCATTGCTCATGCCTCTTCACTCTGCCATTCTTAGCACTGGGCTTTGATCACTAAGACTGCAATCTGGCTGCTGGACCTTGAGATAGGGTGTCATTGTTCAAGGCAGACGAAGGATACGCAGGGCAAAGGCTGCATGTGCAACCATCCATCTCCCTCTTCAAACAGACATTTGTTGAGCCCATCTTCATGCAACATAGCTCAGAAATGTCCTTTCCACCTTCAAATTTGGAAAGATAAATTACTCTCCACCTTCTTCTAGATAGATGCCTCTCTAAAAAATGTATCTCCCTGGCTGGGAATCTCATTCTGTAAAACATCACTCCATTTTCTAGAAACAAGCATCTCTCTATTCTACAGTTGGAGGGTTCTTCTGAGGCTCAGATTCTTCTCGGAAAGTCATGGGCAGCAGGATATTGGCCCAGCCGCGGGAGCGCTCACTTCGTTTGCAAGGTGTTCGGTGATATAGTCCAATAACCTGAGCATACTGGTTTGCTCAGGTGCTCTGGTAATTGACTCTTCCAAATGAACCATAGTAACACCACCTGCACGATCTTCACTCTGATATTCATTGCTTAAATGTTACCGGATGCAGCTGTGACTTCTGTGACCTCCACAGGTAGAAACAGTGGACTCCGCAGCAGCTGAGAATCTAGTTGTCTTTGTTCGGATGTGAGGCAGTTATAATTGAGGGGCTGACATCGTGGCACAGTAGATTAAGCCTCCTCCTGCAACCCAGCTGCTCACTCCCAACCCAGTGCCCTGCTAATGCATCTGGGAAAGAAAAGGAAGGTGGTACAAGTGCTTGGTCCCTGCCACCTATGTGGGAGACCCAGGGGGAGTTTCAGGCTATTGGCTTTAGCCTGGCCCAGCCTTGGCTGTTGCAGCCATTTGGGGAGTGAGCCACTGGATAGAAGATGTATCTGTCACTCTCTCTCTGTAATACTGCCTTTCAAATAAATAAATCCTTTTTTTAAGATTTATTTTATTTATTTGAAAGGTGGAGTTACAGAGGGAGAAGCAGAGATAGAGACAGAGAGAGAGAGAGAGAGGGATGGAGGGAGAGAATGAGAGAGGTCTTCCATCCACTGGTTCACTTCCCAAATGGACACAGTGGCTGGTGTGGGCCAGGCTGAAGCCAGGAGCCAGGAGCTTCTTTTGGATCTTCCACATGGGTGCAGGGGCTCAAGGACTTGGACCGACCTCTGCTGCTTTCACAGGTGAATTATCAGGGAGCTGGATCAGATGTGGAGCAGTAGGGACTCAAACCAGCACCCATATGGGATGCCAGTGATGCAGGTGGTGGCTTAACCCACCATGCTATAGCACTGGCCCCAATAAATTCCTTTTTAAAAAAAATCCAGTATTGGGCCGGCGCCGTGGCTCAATAGGCTAATCCTCCACCTTGCGGCGCCGGCACACCGGGTTCTAGTCCCGGTCAGGGCGCCGGATTCTGTCCCGGTTGCCCCTCTTCCAGGCCAGCTCTCTGCTATGGCCAGGGAGTGCAGTGGAGGATGGCCCAGGTGCTTGGGCCCTGCACCCCATGGGAGACCAGGAAAAGCACCTGGATCCTGGCTCCTGCCATTGGATCAGCGCGGTGCGCCGGCTGCAGCGGCGGCCATTGGAGGGTGAACCAACGGCAAAAGGAAGACCTTTCTCTCTCTGTCTCTCTCTCTCACTGTCCACTCTGCCTGTCAAAAAAAAAAAAAAAATCCAGTATTGGTGTGAGAAAGCATTGTGGGAAGAGTGAAGGTCAAGAACTCCTTGGAATTGGACTCAAGGAGAGGGCAGGGAGGTTCTTACAGTGTGGTCAAGTCAGTCAATTTAAATGTTTTCTGAGAGACTTTGCCTTACTGTCATTGGCTAGAACCTTTGCATAGTAACAAAGCCAACACAGCTGCAAGGGAATGCGAGCTGGTGAGGATTTCTGTTTTCCCTCATCTACCACAGAGAAAGGCAGAAGGGGTGATTATGATGTTGGGGGAATCAACCCGCACTGTTGTTGCAATTAAAAAATGAAGTAAAGAGTGGGCATTTACTCTGGTAGTTAAGACACCCATGTCCCATATTGGAGTGCCTCTGGCCCCTGATTCCAGCTTCCTGCTAACGCGGATGCAGGAAGGGAGTGGGTGATGATGGCTCAAGCAGTTGGGTCCCTGCCAAACACCTGGGAGATTGGATTAAGTTCTCAGCTCCCAGCTTCTCCTGGCTCAACTTTTAGTCATTGAGGGTATTTTGGGAGTGAATCAGCAAATAGGAGCTCTGACTGTCCAGTTCTCTCTGTCTCTGCCTCTCAAATAACCAACAACAAAGCAAAAAAAAAAAAAAAAAAAAAAAAAAAAGGCACCAAAAACAAGGCAAAGAACAGGCATCTAGCTAACGGCTAAGTCACCAAAGCCCCATATTCAGGTACCTGCGCTGATATTCAGTTCCAGCTCCTGACTCCAGCTTCCTGCTAATGCAGACCCTGAGAGGCAGCAGTGATTGCTTAAGTAGTTGAGCCCCTGCCACCACGAGGGAGACCTGGATTGAGTTCCTGCCTCCTGTTTTCAACCTAGCCTAGCTCTGTTGAAAGCATTTGAAGATGAACCAGCAAACAGGAGCATGCTTGCATGCTCTCTCTCTCTCTTCCCTCTACTCTAAAAAACAAAACAAAACAAACAAAAAACCACAAGTGAAATGTGCATTTCTCAATGAAAGCCTCTTCCACTATTTTCTCCACCTAAAAATCATCACTAATAACATTCTCTTGTGATTCTTTCTAGGAAAATACACACACACGCACACATACATACAGAGCTTCAAGGTGTATATTATCAGGGAGGGGGGAGCAGAGTTGTGACATAACAGGTTAACCTGCCATCTGCTGCTGGTATCCCATATAGATGCCAGTTTGAGTCCTGGCTGCTCCACTTCCATCCAGCTCCCTGCTAATGTGCTTGGGAAAGCAGCAGAGGATGGCCCAAGTCCCACCCTGGGGAGACCAGGAAGAAGCTCCTGGCTCCTGGTTTCAGCCTGGCCTAGCCTAAGCCATTGCAACCATTTAGGGAGTGAACCAGCTGATGGAAGATCTCTTTCTGTCTCTCCTTTGTAACTTTGCCTTTCAAATAAATAAATAAATCTCAAAAAAAAAAAAAAAGAAGAAGAAGAAAAAAGATCTGAAGAATGAATATAAGTGAAGTGAACAAAAAAAAGTTTATTCAAGAGAGAGGAACAGTAAGCGTAGAGGCCATGGAGGAAGGAAACATGGTAAGACATAGGGTCCCGTGGAAAGGTGCTATGGAAGGCCGGAGTAGGAGAAAAAGAAACAACGTGGTATGAGAAGAAGGAAAGATAAACAAGTGTCAGCCTAGTGATGAACACTCTCAGACACCCGGGACACCCACTGTGCACCTGCTCTGTGAGTGACCAACACGGAAGTTCTCTCACTCCTTGGCGTCCATTTGAGTTCCGCCAAGGGGAAGCTCTAACAGGAGCTTGGAGGGCAAGAGGAGTGCCAGGTCACCAGGGGTCAGCCACATCCCTCTGCCCCGTCCTCACAGGCAGCCCACTCCAGCCACAAGACGAGTCCCAGAGAGGGCCTCTAACTGCTCCATGAGGCCTAGGGAGAGAAACTGTGACCGCCTGGGTATTATACCATCCCAAGTCGGTTTCCTTTAAATCCCGACGACACATAAGTAGGATATTCATTAAACTCAGCTCAAATTGTTGTGTGTGTACACCATGTTTTTCCCACCAGGAAACTGGTGGACTCACAGTCCGTGTTAAATTAATTTTTATCCTGAACACCATGGGGAACCATTGAACTATTGAAAGCAGAGAGGAAGTGGTGAGATTTATATTTAGGAAAGATTCTAGCTATAGTGCAGATAAAATTGGAAGAAGACAAAAATTGTTTATTTATTTATTTATTTATTTGATAGGTAGAGTTATTGACAGTGAGAGAGAGAGAGAGAAAGAGAGAGAAAGGTCTTCCTTCCATTGGTTCACTCCCCAAATGGCCGCTATGGCTGGCGCTGGGCTGATCTGAAGCCAGGAGCCAGGTGTTTCCTCCTGGTCTCCCATGGGGTGCAGGGCCCAAACACTTGGGCCATCCTCCACTGCCCTCCCGGGCCACAGCAGAGAGCTGGACTGGAAGAGGGGCAACTGGGACTAGAACATGGGATGCCGGAGGAGCAATCAGGCCCACATGGGATGGCAGCGCCACAGGCAGAGGATTAACTAAGTGAGCCATGGTGCCGGCCCTGTTTATTATCTTTAAAAAAAAAAAAAAATCCTTAAAACTTTATAACGGATTGGAGGTGGGACTTCAGAAGACATGAAGAGTTTCCTATGCAATAGCCAATCCGCCTTTTGTGCTACTCTAAACTTCACAGTTTCAGGTTTCCATTCTCTCCTTCTGGTTCTGTGTGTCACTATATTCTGGCCCATTCTCCTCCCCTAAAGTTTAATCCCAATTAACCTAAGCCATTCATGAAAATTACATTCTAATCATCAGTGATAGGATTAAGAAAAGGCAGGGGATTCACTTCTATGAAACATGAGGGATGAGTTGGCTGAGGGCACTTCCAGGAAAAATTTCTCATTTCTTAAGAGAGGCACAAAGATGTGATCCTCTCTTCCCTTCCTTTGGATCTTAGCACATGAGGCTGGATTCCTGCAGGGCACTAGGCAAGCCATCAACAGTGGCCCAGAAGAGTGACATACCAGGTTAAGCTGGCATCCTGTATGAGCATTGGTTCAAGTCCTGGCTGCTCCACTTCCAAACCGGCTCCCTACTTATGTTCCTGGGAAACCAGCAG